AGAGAGCTGGGGGCAGAAATGAATTGGGCAGGTGTCCCATTCAAGCCCCAATAACATGTATGGGAAGCACGAAGAGCATGGCAGTGTGTAAGACTTAGTGGGAATTGCAGAAAACAACTGTCCAAGGAATTGTGCCTTATATTTCCATTTTAATGAAAATGGACACTTAGGCCTTTTATAGTGGTGGGATTCAGCCGGTTCAGGCCGGTTTCGGCAAACCGGTTGTTACATTTCTGGCTGGCCATGCCCCATCCCTTCCAGGAGTTCCCACACACCCTGTTTTGGCTCCCAAGTAACTGCAGGGAGACCTAATAGGCCCAAAATGGGGCGCGGGGGGGGGGAATGCCTCCTGGCCTGTTTTTGCTTCCAGGAGGCTGCAGGGAGACCTAGTAGGCCCAAAATAGGATGCGGGGGCCTGTTTTTGCTCCCAGGGCAGTACAGGAGGCCAAGTGCTGCCTGTCACCCCCCCCAGCCACACCCACCATGGCCACGCCCACCCACCCAGTCATTAGGGCAAAGAACCGGTTGTTAAATTACTTGATTCTCACCACTGGGACCCTACTAGTAATTTTGAGCATCTTCCACAATCACTTCTTTCCATTGCTGAGGTGATTCAAAGCCCATCCTCATTACTTTGGGTACGCCACAACCCTGGGTGGATGATTCTAGAAGATGCTAGTCTCAGAACCGTTGTTTGTTGTAGATAATGTTTAAAGTTGAAAGCATTTATAGGACTCTGTTAAGGAGATAGTTCCTTTCCAGTTTCCTCAACGCCTTCAACAATGACAGAGCGTTTAATATCTAATCTCATTGTAAAAGCAGGAGAGGGAAATATTGAGGAGATATACAGAGGTGTATCGCCTTGAAAATAGCCCATATTCAACTGTTTATCACAAATATCGACAGTTGACCACAGGAGATGTTTTATGACATTTTGTATTATGTCACCAATGTTTTATGATAACTTTTATGTATAAAGTGTTTTATAAAATAGTCTTTTTGAAGTACCTTCGGTCAATACACTGTTTCATCCATCTAAAGATTATACACAGAAAAAAAGAGTTTTTAATAGCATGTTAGACAATCCATGACCCGTTGGGTCATTGTTTCAAAGGTATTTCCTTTCCAGATTCCCTAAAAACTTCAACCATCTAATGTATTGGAAAAGTTTTTACAAATTCAGGGACATATTCAGAGCTGTAGCTGCCTTGAAAGGAGCCCATGTTTGGACTGTACAGCATAAACATCAGCAGGTGACCACAGGGAATGTTCTCTGACATTTTGTATTATGCCAGAAAAAAAAGACATTTTTTTCCTAGGGTTAAACCAGAAGAGGGGAACTGTATCCACAGACCCGAGGCCTGCTTCAGTGCAATTCATTTTCTGCTTTTAACAGTATTTACAGCTATCAGCGCAAGAATGGGGATAAGGAATCATCAGATGCTGGAAATCCGCCAAAAGGACTTGGTACTAAATCACAACAGAAAAAGGACAAATCGATTGTCCTCTCTAACTCCTTGATGGGCAACGAGTTCTTCATTTCTTTAATTTTAATTAAAATTAAAATGTCTAATTTTTAGGAGCGTTCTTGTACTGAGGGATGACACTGCTTGTACAGTAATTCAGTTTCTTCAGTGGCAAAAAGTGTTAAGCACTTCATCTATAAGGGCTGTGATCTATTCAGAGCTAAGGACTTTTAAATTCCACTATTTTAAAAAAAAGGAACTATGCCTGCACTATTGAAATTAAAGAGTCTGGTCATTGGTGGTGTTTTTGTTTTTTTAAATCAGAGCCCACACTGATTGTGCACCATGACCTCAAGATATACTTAAGATACACTTGCTAAGAAGAAGATGGTGGATTTCCTCTCCCTCACCCCCCTCGGTATTGAAATAAAATAAAATCCAGAAGCAATTTCCCATATTTGATCATTTGGAGAATCCAATTATTTCTTTGGGGAACAAAATCAGGAGAGCTTTGAGCAGTGTTAAAAAAATAAATCTATGAGATTAAGCTACGATTGTGCAACCATAAAATAGTTAATAGCATCGTGCCTGAAACAACTTGTTACACCAACGCTGCTGTTATTATTTTTAGTGGGTCAGTGCTATAAGAAATACATCTGAATATCCCGTGCTAAACAGTATTTTTGCCAATTTCCATAAAGAGATTCACATGGCCTCCCAATGGCTCCTGCTGTCCTCTTAGTTTATAAGGTTCATCTTGGATGAATAATCATATTTTTAAATATTGGGAGTTTTATCGTAGTCTAGCAGAACCCCAGGGATTGTTGTTGTTTTTTTAACAACACCACAGTTACCAACTTCCATCTTGCACTCCATCCCCTTCCTCACCCTTAATGGAAGAATAAATCTCTGAACTGTTCATCCCGATGCAAAACGTTGGTAGTTATTTTGCTCTGGAGACGTAAACACCTTTTCCAGGAGGCTTATGACTTAACAGGGCGACTTGAGGAGTCAGCTGCCAAGCCATCGGGTACCAGGTTACAGAGCTCATGTTTCTCTTCCAGGCTAAGGTTCCAAAAACATGAGCAGGCTAAACTAGCAAGCAAAGAGAATCGCTGGGAAATTATTCTGTCTGCATCTTTGTTGTCAAAACGACACGTTGCTTTAAAGGCAGGATTTTTGTTTCAGGTTGAAACTTAAATCAGTGTTGACGTCCTTGGCAGCATAGCCCTCTGGCAATGGAGGAAAAGAATCAACTCAAGATGTCATCTGAAGACACTGAGTCCCCTTGGTCCTGGGTAAGGCCTCCTGATCTAGAGTAGAAATTAGATGTTGGAATTGGAGGGAAGCTTGGCTTTTGCAGATTACAGGCTCGGCGCGCAGTCCTGGTTATATCGATTCCAAGCAAAGCTGTGTTGAATTGGTGCAAATAGTTAGAGCAGTTTCTTTAGTTCAGCTTGGCAGAAGAATAGAAATGCAGCAGGGAAGGGGTGAAAAATGCATCCTTTATGTCGCACGCAGTTTAAATAGTATATATTGTTTTCTTTTGTTGTCTTTCGAATTGTTGTTAGATGCCATTCTAGTGGATGCGCCTGTCTCTTGAAAAACTATTTCCCCCATTTTAACACTGTTGGACAATAGATAGAGATTGCTTTTTGGGGTGTGTTTGGCCAGCTAAACTCTAATTTCATTCTGAGTTTTGCCATTTTTGTATGCCTAAGAGAGCAAACATTACAAAGACAGCTCTGAGATGGGTCTTGCTCTCTGAAAAAGGTGAACTGCTACTGGGTTTGAAAAACAGGAGTAGTAGGGAGATTGGATGTTGCAAGCTTTATTCTGTACTACTCCTGCAAACGTTCATATAGGGGACAGGCAGGAAGGTTGGGGTGACATTTGAAACATTTGCAAAACCTTGCAATCAGCAAGGTTTTCTGACTCCTGGTGGTCTAATAATAGCAATTCTTTAAAAGCCTCACTTCTACATACAATTGTTGGAGAGGGCAGATTAGTAGGATTGGATTTTTGCATGAGAAAAACTTGCAAATTTGCTTTTTGGATCCATCACAAATTTCGGGGGGGCGTGGCGTTAAAAAGCACACTGAACCTTAATTCTTCCGGTGCTTTTGTCTACTTGAGTCACAGTTTCCCACTTAGTTCATTAAGCCTCTGATAAATGAAATAAGACTTTGCAAGTGGGTCCTAGTTCTCCGCTTCTATAAAGATTTATAAAGGGTGGAAGATACATGTAGGAATATTTCTCTTGTTAGAAGTGCTTTTTCAGTATTTCTTAATGGGTCTGACTGAACAGTACGGTCCAATGAAGACTTTTCTGCAGAGAGTGATGTGAATTTGACACTCACAGTGTATGAGGAATAGGAATAAAAAGATTGCAAACTTCTGTAATGCTCATTTTCAGGCGGTAAATACGTGATTCAGAGCAAAAATAGTCTTGAGTCTTCTGTTAGTCTTGCTAAATGTCTTAATAATGGATGATGTTATACCTAAAGAAGAAGAGTAAGGGTATGGTGAAAATATAAGATTGACATTTTGCCTTTGTGTGGTACGGTAGGTGAAAACTATAAATATACACTATCTTTAAAGGGAATATGATAGATATGAAGGGATGAAAGAGATCTTATTCTCCCTCCCTCCCTCCCTCCCTC